TGGCACGCATACCTATATGATGTCAGGATGAATCAACCCGGAATAAGTGGGTGAATAATTAAAACTTCCTAGCAATAAATCCTACTACCTCTGGAGAAAGCAGGTGTTTCCTACCCCTCTGGGCCCTTTTTTAAGCTGCCATCCTCAGAGTACCCACTAGATGCCGGGCATTTTGTAACACATTCTCCTTCATCGTCATAACATCCCATCAAGTGTTACTATTCCCACACAAAGAGGAAACTGAGGCTCCACAACCTGAAATCCACAGCTCTCAAGTGTGGGAGTTGGGACCCAAAGCAAGGGCCGATCTAAATCCAACAACCATGCTCCTTCTGCCGTCATGTGGGAACTCTGGCCGGGCACCCAGCCTGAAGCCTAAACTATGCTCTGGTTCCTCCACATCTCCTGAGACCACCTAGCCAGGCTCTGTCACATTTACAGTCCATAATGTTTTATCATCCGTACTTGGGTATAACACAAATGAATAAACCATGGCCAGGAAGCCAAGTATTTCAAAATTTTCAATTGCTTAGACACCTTACCCAAAAGATTACCAATACTTATCATTCTATTTGAAATGCAATCTGCCTCTACTTTAAACGGTATGGATTCTGTTAACAACAGCTCTTACAAACCACAAACTTAACCTGCAGAAATTGATGTTGCAGACTAAACATTTACCATGATTTTTAGAAAAGCATATCAAAATTATCACTTTTTCCACTGAGCCAAAAGGAGCCAGAGACCACAAACATTTTCCATTTTCCCTATACTGACAGGTACAATATTCACAGTAAGCGTTAAAAAGCCAAAACTAGAGATAATTTTAATGGAATTAATGGTTTTCACAATGAAATCAAGTCTTAAATTGATTGTCAATTTCAATAGAGTGATAATTCAAACTCAAGATGATCTATAGTATAAGTGAAATACCAAACTAGTATAATGATTTGTACATTGCTCCCCATATTATAAATCTAAGTATGAACACAGTTACGGACCTGTTTCTCCTCTGATGCTCTTAAGTCAGAGTCTGTGCTAAAGAATGAATGCCAGGTTTAATCCAAGTCTACCAGACACTAACTCACACAATCAACTTGGCCAGCTTGTCCCCCCCTATTAGATTCATATGTATGATATATACTGACATATGTATATATGTTCAGGTCAAATCCTGTTAAAACAAATAGCATTTTAACAAAAATATTTCCATGTCCCAGCCAATGGTCCATTCATTTCATGTAACATTCAGTACCACAAAAATCCACTTTAACAGAGATATGGACAATGCCTTAAAATTCACTGTAATGAAAACTGAATTATGTGCAATTATACTAACCATATTTATATACATAACACATGTTCATCTGTTCTGCCTCTTCTCCAAGACTGTACACTCCCCATGAGCAGGGCTGCCTCTGAATGCTACTCTGCAAATCAAGAGCACTTCAACAGCGCCACCTTGTGGCTATCCTTCAAACATAAGGTGCGTGCTCTGGCACTATCAAAAACGTTGGAGAAGAGAATTACAGAGAAACCATCAAAACAGTAGAAAACAAACAAGAAACAGATTTGCTTGAGAAAAATGGAGAAACAACACCATTTACTTAAAAACACAAAGGAAGAACGAGTACAATAATCAACTTAAGAAAACAATGTTGTCTTTTCTCGTGAGATGCAGCCTGATTCTCCACCAGGAAGTCTCCCTCATCCAGTTAAAGTATGTCTGTATGCCTGCCTGCCTGCCTGTCTGTCTGTCTCTCTCTCTCTCCCTCTCCCTCCCTCATAATTAAAAGTATTACTGAATTGGGTTGTAATCCATGTATTCAATACTTGGGACCAACTTAAGAAATCTTCCTTAGACTTTGCACTAACTTGGTTAGGGGGGTATTTTTGTTTGTTTGCTTTTCTTTTTCTTTTTTCGTTGAGTCAGGGTCTCATGGTTTTTGTTTGTTTGTTTTGTTTGAGTCAGGATCTCACTCTGCCACCTAGGCTGGAGTGCATGATCACAGCTCCCCACAGACTCAGCCTCCTGGGCTCAGGCAATCCTTACACCTCAGCCTGGGATTACAGGCACATGCCACCATGCCCAGCTAATTCTCTTTATTTTTTGTAGGGATGAGGCCTCACTCTGTTCCTAGCCTGGTCTCGACTGCCTGGACTCAAGCAATCCTCCTGATCAGCTTCCCAAAGTGCTGGGATTATAGGAGTGAGCCACCGCACCTGGCCCTTTGCACTAACTTTGGAACCAACCCCAACCACCACCCACACCATCACTACAATAATCAAGATGTATGATCCTGGGCATTTTCTCTGATCCTTGGCTTCTTACTCTCACATGAGAAACAGGACGAAGTGATGACTAAGATTTCCTTCAGGAATTAAATACTAAGGGGGGGGGGGTTCATATTTTGCTTTCCTAGAGATTCTATTGGAAGAAATGGGCAAGTCATGCTACGTTTTGGCATAAAAAGAACAACAGAGTCCAAATTTTCTCAGATAACTCTCAAATATTCTTAAGTCTCACTGCAGAAAGTAAACTTACAACTTTTAGAAGCGGAATTAGAAATCAGAGGCTGGCCTGTCAACTTGTAGCTCCAGGCCTCAGACCTGACACCTGAGCTGAGGCCCTGTTTGCCATGGATGTACTTGAACATGGAGCCCCTGATGTTCTCCTGGAAATCCCAGACAGGCTGAGAAAGGCGCCATCTGACAGCCCTGATAAGGGGTAAGGTGGTAGCAACAGCACTGGCTCATCCCTGGCTATTTCTACACCTACCCGACATGGCAGTTGTGATCATCACAGTACACTGACCAAGTCAGAGGAAAATGTTCTGGCCAGCATTCTTTTCAAGAGTGAACTGTGTATCTTACCTAGCCCAAATGTATTTTTGTTTGTTTGTTTGTTTTGAGTTACCGTTCCACTTTCGCCCAGACTGAAGTGCAGTGGCACAATCGTGGTTCACCACAGCCTCGACTTCCTGGGCTCAAGCGATCCTCCTGCCTCAGCCTCCTGAATAGCTGGGACTACGGGAGCACACCACCACGGCCTGGCTAGTTTTTTTTATACATATCTCATAGAGACAAGGTTTTACTATGTTGCTTAGGCTGGTCTCGAACGCCTAGGCTCAAGCAGTCCTCCCATCTCGGACTCCCAAAGTGCTGGAACTACAGGCATGAGCCACCACACCTGGCCTTCACTAGCCAAATTTAAATTGAAAATTTTAAAAGGAAGACAGAGGCAGGCTCAGTGTCTCATGCCTGTAACCTCTGCATATTGGAGGCCAAGGTAGAAGAATCGCTTGAGCCCAGGAATTCAAGACCAGCTTAGGTAACAAAGTGAGATCCTATCTCTACAAAAAAAATTTAGTCATGCCAGGTACGGTGGCTCACATCTGTAATCCCAACACTTAGGGAGCCAAGCCAGGCAGATTACTTGAGCCCAGGAGTTTAAGACTAGCCTGGGCAACATAGTGAAACTTCATCTCTACAAAAAAAAATCAAGAAATTAGCCAGGCGTGGCAGCATATGCCTGTAGTTTCAGCTTCTCGGGATGCTGAGATGAAAGGATCACCTGAGCCCAGGAGGTCAAAGTTGCTGTAAACTGTGATCGTTGTGATCATGCCACTGCACTCTAGCCTGGGAAACAGAGTAAGACTCTGATTCAAAAAAAAAACAAAAACAAAAAATTAGTCAGTCGTGGTGATACACATCTGTAGTCCCAGCTACTTGGGAGGCTGAGATGGGAAGATTCCTTGAGTCCAGGAATTCAAAGCCAACATGGGCAACATACCAAGATCCTATCAAGAAGAGAATGGGCTGGGCTCGGTGGCTCAGCCTGTAATTCCGCGCTTTGGAAGGCCGAGGTGAGTGGATTGCCTGAGCCCACGGATTCGAGACCCGCCTGGGCAACTTGGTGAGAACTCATCTCTACAATAAAAATCAAAAAATTAGCCAGGTGTGGTAGCGCGTGCCTATAGTTCCAGCTACTTGGAAGGCTGAGTGGAAGGAGCCCAGCAGGACAAGGCTGCACTCCAGTCTGGGTGACAGAGTGAGACTCCAACTCAAAAAAAAAAAAAATAGAGAGAAGAGAATGGGAGGAAGGGAAAGAGGTACAAAACAGAGCTAATACAAATTTATTTTTATTAAAAAAAGGAGAACGACGGGGAGAGCACATTGGACTCCTCTGATGTTCTAAATGGTGCATCCACGTCACTGCACATTTGTCCAGACCCATACAATGCACAACAGCAAGAGTGAACCCTGATGTAACCCTGGACTCCACACAGGTCCATGAACTGTAACATCAACTGTTCTGTTGCAGGATGCCAACGGGGGGCAGGTTGGGCAGTGGGGGAGTATGGGGAGGCAGAGAAGGCGTGAATCTGGGAATTATCTATATTTTCCATTCAATTGTGTTCTGAAGCTCAAAATGATCTAAAAAAAGAAAGTCTGTTTTTAAAAGTCAAAGAAAACTTAACCAGAGAAGTACGCGTATGCACACACACCCATGTGTGTACTTAGAGGAGAGAACAGTGTGGGAGAGGATGCAGAAACAAGTCTCAAGAAATATAATTGAGACATGGTATCAGCTTTTCCAATGTATTTTCACCATTCCTTAAATGTCACTTCAAATTCAAATGACATCCTAAACTTTGGGACACTTCCTAAATAAAACTTTTAAAGGAAAAAGAATACCTTTCTTTAAAAATTACATATAAAGGCAAACTGCAATTTGTGTATAAACTACATCAAAATAAAAAGCACATCACTAATCATTAAACTATAATGAAGCAACAGTACTAACCAACAGTCAATACTATTAATCAAAGAAACAGTTACAGTTCAACAGTTATGTACCATATATTAAAAATACAGTATGTGTCCCAAGGACATGCTACCTTAATCATTCATTTTATAAATATCTACCCAGCCTCCTCAAGGCCCCTGGGTGAGGCATGCTTCCACCACCCAGCTTTTCAACAGACAAACACAGTTACCTGGTAAGGCGGTAATAAAGTCCCGCTGCAACATGGGCTTCAGGTAAGAGTTAATATGTCCATGCTGATAATGACACATTCGTGAAATAAGATGTTCCACAAATTCTACTTGATCTGATTCAGACCACTGGTCAAAATATTTAATACACAAGTCTTTTTCTTTTTGGTAGTTTCCTTCTGATGGCCTCTTTCTGGAGACGATCACAGACGATGTTCCATTACTTATCTATTTTAGAAAAACAAAAAAAAATTAGCTTAACTAGGAAAGAAATCTAATTAATATTTCGTTAGAAACATTTTTCACTCTGTGTACTTAAGTCTTAAAATGCCAGTTTTATCCTAAAGCCAAACTCATTCCTTTATTAACTCATTCAGGAAGTAATTTAAAAAATGTATTCAGGTCTAGTGGCCTCAAATTAGTCACCAAAGTAAGTACCGAAGTTACAGCTATTTCTAAAGCAAATGGCATCTTAAGTAATCATGTTTCCATGCTTCTTCCAAAATAAGCTGATATTCAATTACTAACGTTGGAGACGATGGTCTCAGGGGAATTGCTCAATTTGGCAAAGTGGCAACTGATTATTAAAAATCGTTTTACTTCCTCAAAGTTGAAACTTAATGCTATATACATCTAAGTTAATGATTATTACATATCTATACCGATGGTTCTCACACTTGAACAAGCATCGGAATAACAAGCGGGCTTGTTAACAGACTGCTGGGACCCAGAACCCAGAGGTTCTGAGTGTATCGATCTGTAGTGGAGCCCAAGAATTTGTATTTCTAACAAGTTTCCAGGTGACGCTGATGCGGATGGTCCAGAGACTACACTCTAGGGAACACACATGAGAACCACTGGTCTATACAACATAAGAGATATGCAATACCGTAGTAAAACCAAAAGCGATCAACCCAAAACCTTCACCTTACCCAAAGGTTAAATCTCCTTCATGCTACCCCCCAGGGCTACTAAGCTGCTGGTAAAACAGTTTAGACTTTCTCTTCCCTCTTTTGATCACCTTCTCAGAAAGTCACCCAAGGAAACCACATATACCTGCAAAGTTCCAAAACTTATTATGGATAAGGTACAGACTCGCATTAACATTGCATTTCTCATCAAATCTACCTATATGTTCCTGCATAAAATCAGTATTTTTTAAAGCGAAACTCCATACACTGCATCTGGACAGCAGCATCAAAAATAACCACTAGACTCAAGCCACAACCACTACTGATGCTATGAGGCGCCGTAACTTGCCTGTTTGAACACAACACGACTGGACTACTTGTGTGGAACATTTGCCAAGCCATCTGTCCATCCCTCCTCTGACAGTCTCCTCATGCGTAATACCAAAAGGAATAACACGTAGGAGAATGTTGAGAACCGAAGAGCTGCAGGACAGCTGCCCACCAATTCCATTAGGAATTTATCTCAGAATCTTACATAGAAAGAAACAAGAGCTTTCACTATCAGTATGTCCCCTAACTTCAAGTGGACAGAACCATCCCAGAAATAAGACATCCTTTATAAACATCCAAAGGAGTCTTCAGCCTACCTTGATAAAAATGTTAGAACTTTCATGTCTGAAGCAAGTTCTTACGCCCTCATTAGAGGTATATGGTCAGATGGCATCTATCCTCCACCCAATTTATTTCATCACCCCATTGTCTAGGAATTTTTTTCCCTTGTAACTTGGATGAGGGAAAGCTCACGGACACCATGTACCACAAGGGGGCAGCATTGAATAAGGATTTTTAAATGTTGCTTCTAATAAGACATTCATATCCAACAGACACCCAAAATAAGAATTTAAAACAGTCAGAGATGGCCGGGCATGGTGGCTCACGCCTATAATCCCAGCACTTTGGGAGGCCAAGATGAGAGGGCTGCCTGAGCCCAAGGGTTCGAGACCAACCTGGGCAACTTGGTGAGACCTCATCTCTACAATAAATCAAGAAAAATTAGCTGGGCATGGTGGCACATGCCTGTAGTTCCAGCTACTTGGAGGGCTGAGGCGCTCTAGCCTAGGCGACAGAGTAAGATTCCAACTCAAAGAAAAAAAAAACAAAAAAACAGAGGTGAAGTGAAAAATCTTTGCCGTGATTAACACTGGCAGGAATAAGGGGCATCTATGCTGAGTTTTTTGGTTTTTGGTTTTTGTTTTCCTTTTAGTAGGAGTCTCACTCTGTCACCCAAGCTAGGGTGCAGTAGCATGCTCACAGCCACCGCAGCCTCAACCTGCTGGGTTCAGGTGATCTTTCTGCCTCAGCCTTCCAAGTACTGGAATTACAGGCGCATGCTGCCTAATTTTTGATTTATTGTAGAGACAAGGTCTCGCCAAGTTGCCCAAGCTGGTTTCGAACTCCTGGGCTTAGGCAATCATCTTACCTCGGTTTCCCAAAATGCTGGGATTACAGGCTTGAGCCACCACGCCCGGCTAAGCTACTTTTAGGTGTAAGGATGTCCACCACGATACTATAGAAAGGTGAGAAATAACTGCCCAATTGTAAACAACTGCTTAAAGCAAACAACACATCTACACAAAGGACTACAATGTAAGCTATTAAAACTAGGTTTATAAAGTAAGGCTTTAACAACAAAAGAACATGCGTATGAAATAATATTAAGGAACAAAAGGCAAGATCCAGAATTCAATATAGCATTAAGAGCACAATAATTTGTATGGGGAACATATCAAGACAGAGTAAAAGATACATATCAAAATGTCCAAAGTGCCTTATCTTGAGAAAGAAAGCTATACATGTTTTCCTTCCCCCTTTAATGTCTATATTTTTTTCAAAATAGTTTGCCAAAATACGTGTTCACAACAGGTTACATATAATGATGGTAACAACTTGCATGCATGTATTGCTTTATAATTTACAAAGTACTTCCACAGCCATTAAGTCATTTGATAATAGTATTTGATGTTATTGTTTCATTTACAAAAAGGCTCCTCACCACCTAGCCTCCCTAGGGCTTTTGACTGAAGGATGGATGAAAGAAAAACTGAAAGCTGAGGTGTTAAGAACCACTGCCAACTGAAAAAACAACAGTAAATGAAGAGAGAATCCCACTGCAAAGTAATCCATGTGAAGGAGGTACAAAAGTCGGTTGTGCACAGTATTCAGAAAACACAGCAGCACGTGCGCTTGTCTACAGCACATTTTCAACATTCTATTCCCAACCACCTGCACAGCCCACCCAGCAAGCTCTTCCTAAGCATTGTTGTGCTTAGTTTCATTTCATCTGAAATGTGTTGGGCGCACTTTATTCTTGCTAACTAATCTACCTGTTTAGTTTCTAATCAAATGAACCCAGAGAATTTTTGTTTTTACGTTATTCCCTTCAGGTTTAGATTTGTTTTGCTTTCATTATGCCTTCATGAAGAGAAAACCCATGTGCACCATGACAGTTGATGGAAACACCAAATCATGAAACTTGACTTGCTCCCCACTGCCCCCTCAAAAACAAAAAACTGGGAGACTGGGAAGAAAACTAGCAGTCTTAAAATGAAGCCAGGAGAGAAGGGTACCGAGTTGAAAAGGAAAAGGCAAACCAATGGAAACGGGAGGGAACGGTGAGGGTCGGGAGCAAGAGAAGAAACAGCCATCGATGCATGCACTGGTATGGGGCATGGTGCCATTCTGGTGACAAAGGATGCCATCACTGTCCATCTTTGGTTTAGACAGTGGCCACAAATAGAACATTTTAGGCTACAGCCACTTCAGAATCTCTGTGAAAACTACAAACCTCTCTACTATATGTAATGGCAATTGTTAGGAAAAGATAAATTACAGTAGATTCCAAAACTAGCAAAACTACACAAAACCAAAATTTTGAGGACATTAACTGGGAGCAAGTCCACTGCTATCTCATCTGTGCGCCATCATTCCTACCTGCCAAAGAGTATTTTTCTTTGGGGACTCATCTTCATTTTGATCTTCCATAACTGAAGTGTTCTAAGGGGGGAAAAACAGGTTATTTGAATTATGTCGAATTTTGCAAATCCTAAATAACTACAAGAAATAATTTTTGAAAGCCCAAACTAGAGTGCACCAACACATACCCAAGAACTATTTGGCTTGTGGCTAACACATACCATTTTGGGTGAAGGGAGATGTGTTCACCTTTCATCAATCAATAGTTAGTGGCAAAACAAAAGTAAGCATAGTCTTTTTTTATGAAGACTGGCCATGCTAAGAAAACAGGCTAAATTGTGGGAGTGAGAGCCAAACTCAACCTCAATCATGACTGTTATTCTTTAACTTGCAGCAAGAAATCCCAGAGACACAAAGTTTCCGATGATTACACAAAACATTTACTAGAATGTCTGCTATTCAGTAATCCACCCAAGGAATCAGCAATTAGAAGAGGCAATGCCTTGGAACTGCCCCCACACCCCATCGCCTTTCTCCTTCCTCCCACGACAGCCTTGTTTTTCTGGAATGGCTTTGCAATCTTCCCTGGCAAGCATGGTGGGTGCCCCAATGCCCCAACCTTCTCCCTGAAGAGAAGGAAGCTGTCAACCAGTAACAATCTGGCTTGCTTTGTGAATGCATTAGCTTTTGATTTTTGTGTTTACTGCACAAAGAAGTACTGTGTAATTATTCTTTCTGGTGACCTAGTCGCTCAATAGATGCCCATTAGCTGGAGATTATACATTATTGGGTTTTCCCTTCTGAAGCTCCCACCTAATGGCTAAATGGAAACTTAATGAGAAGGGGAAGTAGGGGATAGTGGTGCTCTGAAAGTAATAGCCACTCATTGATGGACAGCAGTCTCCATCTTTCCAAATCTAAAATTCTAAGACTGGGGCACAAAATTGAAAATACAACAGTAGTCCCACAGCAGTATTCAAGAGTACTACTGATCTATTTAAGTTATCTAGGTTTCCAAAATTTAAGAGAGAGGACCAGCCTCTCTCGCTCACATTTTCCCTATTTTTCCTCTATGTTCTTCAGGTCCTAAAATGTTTGGGACCATAAAGTATTTCCAAACAACCCACCTGAAAATACCCAAGGTAGCTAATGGCAGAAGAATCATCACTGAGCACTAGTTGCTCTGCAGGTCACACAGCCATCTCCGAGCAGGAATGCAGTAAGTCAAAGGCTTTGAAACCAAGGAGAGAAGTGGAATTTCTGATTTGGTCTCTCACTCAATGTGTGTGTGAGACCGTGAGCCAGTTATTTTACCCCTGGAACAAATACAAACCACAAAGAGTTGCTGTGGGGACTGAGAATACCCAGCACAATGCTTGGTGTGCAACGGGTATTTGAACCCACATTTCACTCCCTGCTTTTAAGATGTTGCTTTTACTCAGCCTTATCTTCTCACACTTTGCTAATTTCAGAGATTCTGACAGGATGATTCGAGATGGCTGCCTATGGGGAAAACCCACTGGCTTCCTGGATACACTCTTGCAAGCCCCACAGCACCAAGGTTTGCCAAGGGGAGGACAGGAGGGTGGGGTTCTGTATGCCAAAGTCAACCAAGGGCGAGGGGAAGGTCCAAAACAAGTGTCTCAGAGTCCAAAACAAGGTCCAGAACAATCCTGAATGGCCAGAAGAGGATGCGGAACAGAGAAACAAAAGTAGTGCGCCTGTTGGTCTCTCTGTGTAATTTTCTTTTTACTGCTATCTTGAAGGGACCTAGGGACTGACAAAGCCAGCAGGCTTCCTTAGGGGAATAAACAAAGTGGGAACCGTGACTCAGTACACTGTCTCCTGAGCTGAGTAGTTACAAAGCCAACTCACAATGTCACAATGCCCTAGGAGTGGCAAGGAGAAGAATGGCTGGAAATACAAAAGGTTGAGCATGTACAGAAACGGGGAACTGAGGGGGAAGAGAGATGGGAAGTTAGTCCTCACCGGAGGAAAAGTGCAGAGGATGTCCAGGTTTCAAACTAAAACCTTTTTCAATGTAGGCACCCGAGTCCCTCCAGAGCTACTGTGATCTATGCTACCTTCTTCACTTAAGAGGAAACATAAAAACACCAGAAGACCCTATATACTACACAAGAAACAACTGTCTTTACAGTGGGAAAATTTAATTCTCTCTTTCATTTGTTCCAAAACAGAGAAACGATGTTGACTTATATTGTTGAAAAAGAAACAACTCTGAAAAGTAATTGCTCTCTTAAGCTTAACAAAAGAGGATAAAGACATATCATTTAATAAAAACTGCATTTAATAAGACCTGGGGGTGCTGGAAGAGGTCCGCCATCCTACATATTTTCTCAACTTCTCTTATAAAGTCTACAAAAGACTCCAAAGGGGGAAATGTTGTTCTTAAGATACAAGACCAGAGGATCATTTTCAAAGAAGATTCCAGGTGACACAAGAGATGTTCAGAGGAAAAAGGATCCCAAGGTCTAATCAGGTTTGAGAAATGCTGCACATACTCCCAATGAGCTTGCTCATTCTCTGTCTCTCTCTCTCTCTCTGTCTCTCTCTCTCTCTCTCTCTCTCTCTCTCTCTCTCTCTCGCTCACTCTGTGAAGTTACAATATGCTCTATAAAGATACTAAAGGCTCTAAAATGTACTCTAGTTTAAATTAGGTGAAGTTCATTTAATCCAGCTTTCCCAAGGTTGGCCTTCTATAATCATACCTATTAACAATAACTCAGCACATACTGGCAAACACTGGGTTAGAGCAGTAGCACAGCACAATTCCCTTCTCCCACTTCATCCAATACTTTTGGGAGACAAGGAAACACCCATTTTGGTAAATACAATATTGTTCTCTCCCATTCCCCATTATCTTTCTCAGCCTACTACAGGTTGAACATCCCAAATCTAAAAATCCTAATTCTGACACGCTCCAAAATCTGAAACTTTTTGAATGCCAACATGACACTCATAGGAAATGCTTCTTGGAAAACTTTGGATTTGGGGTTTTTGGATTTGGGATGTTCAACAGGTACATATATTGCAAACACTCCAAAACCTGAAAAATTCAAAATCAGAAACAGTTCTGGTCCCAACCATTTTAGATAAAAGACAATCAACCCATATATAGGGTCATGGGAATAAGTGGTGATGGTAAGAATAGAAAATTCTCTTACAGAAGCCAAGCTTTTTTTCCTATCACCTTGAACTTTACTCCTTAAAGGCAACAGACAAAAAGTTACAGGGTCAAGGGTGATGTAAGAATAACTAATCAGCCTCCCAAGAAAAAAAGAAGGTAGTTTCCTACATCCAAACTCATGTGAAACCACAGCCAACCTAAGAGGGGAAATCCTCTCTAAGTCTCCAACACTTCCAGGAAAGAAAAGTTCTTTGAAATACCAAACTGGCTTTATTCACTTCTTGCCCTTCTCATCACTTATTTCCTCTTATGTCTACCAAGGAGCATCACATACAAATAGATTAAGACGCAGACCCTCCTCCTATTCTGCTAGTACTACCAAGGAAATATACAATCTAGGAGGAGGAAGCCAGACTCTAGGGAGGGCCAAATGGTACTACTGACATGTTGGGAAGGATAATTCTGGTTTGTGGAGGTTGTCATGTGCATTATAGGATGTTTGTAGCATCCCTGGCCTCCACCTATGCCAGTAGCACCACTCTCCCATTCCCAAAATGTGATGACCAAAGATGTCTCCAGATTGCCAAATGTCCTAGGGGAGGGGGCAAAATCATCCTTTCCACTTGAAAGTGGAGCTCTAAATGTGCCTCCCAGGGAAAATATACTAAAGCATTGCCATCTCCAGCATGGCCTGTCTTTCTCCTTGGACATCTTTTCTTGGCCCCTGTGACAGCATGTGACAGTCTGATCTCACCATGGCCAACCAGTTCAGGGAGTATGTTAATATCTAAATTCAGGTTGTATACTCTGCTTATCATTCAGTTCGTATCTGGAAAGCCATGATGTCAAGGGTTCTTTACTAGAGGTCCATGGAATTGGGGGTGAGAATGAGGCCTGTAAAAACGTGAAGCCATATACAGTGAACCATGGAATGGATGGAGCCTAGGCATACGTTCTTCTCCTTCTTCTGTTTTAAGTTCTCCAAGTAATTTTGATCTACGTCTCTGTCCAAAAATCATTCTATGACAAAATGTTGGGGTCCATGTGGCAGACCAACCTAAGTAAGTAGGTTAAATTGACACTATCATGACCAGACTCCACTCCAATATGCAATATTTCAGAACTACCGCATACCACGAGACTCTAATGCCTGTTCCTGGGTATTTTTTGTAAATAAAATTTACAAAACCAGTCATTTACCATATATTAAAAATATGATCAACTATATACTTTAATAGCTCCATAGAGGAATAGACATAGCAATAAGTATTATTTAGTGGTTGCCTATGACAGCCAGGCATTGCATTAGAAACTTTCTGTACCTTATCTCTAATCTTTATAATGACCCTACATAATAGTCCACATATCCTGTTTTACAGATGAAGAACCATGGCTCAGAAACTCTTTGCAACTTGCTTGGGGTTACACATCAAATATCTGCCAGGATTCAAAGCTAGACTCTTTCTGTCTATGCAATACTGCCTCCTAGTTAGACTGCATATATACTGTAGCTATACGCAGCACAACGAAGATCCTAATCCTGTTTCAAAGACACTTTTTCCACCACTGCCAAGAAAACACAGCCCAAGTGGTTGCTCTGTCTTCATAAATAGAATTCTGAGCATAACTGGAAGTAGTACATGTTTCCATACTAAGGATGACTGGTTTGGTTGGTTCTTTGGTTAGTTCAATCCGGGTCTCCATGACTCTCAGAGTCTGATATGGAAATGTCCTACCACTAAGCACAAATATGTTTTATGAAAGAGGATAGGAAGAATAATCAAATGCCATACTGCTATAAAAAAAAATTTTAAAAAAAACCTGTTCAGACTCGGTGGCTCAGTCTGTAATTCCGGCACTTTGAGAGGCAGAGGTAAGAGGATTGTCTGAGTCCACAGGTTCAAGACCAGCCTGGCCAACATGGCGAGACGGT